GGCCCTGAACCGATGAATGAGCATCTGGATTCGACAAACAATTTTCACCTGAGTGTTATGTACGATGAAATCACTATAATAATTGGTGGAATAGTTTACCTTTACATATACTCTACGTTTTTATTAGTATTAGTATTATTATTATTACTATTATTATACAACGCATTGGGTAGTGCGATCTTCTTTTATCATTAATCAGTGACACGGATCAAATTAAACAATCAACTTTTATAAGACAACTGCAATTTTCTTATATTTGTGAGTTACAAAAAGCTAATTGTTACGGTGTATTAGAAAGCCTTAGTGAAATAAAGTTTATAGACAAAAATTAAACTACATTTATTATGAGTAATACTCAGTCACTTAATTACGGACAAAACTGAAAATAATAGTAGGGGAAAATTCTTGAAATAAGACTAAAATCGTTTGAAAATTCCAAAATAGGACTGTCATATTTTCATTTTATTCCCTGAATAGGAGTGATTATTGTCAATTTTGGAAAACACTGTCATGTTTAAAGTCTGGTACTGCCAAAATATGAAAACAATTAGTCCTATTTAGAGAATAAAAAATGGGTCCTATTTTGAAATGCACTATCATTGTTAGTCATATTTAGGGTCATTTCCCTAATATGGGCCAATAAATGCTACTATTGTGGTCACTTAGGGGTACAAAGTCACATTTTTGTCCACTGCCCTTATTTTAGTCATAAATTAGTTATTTTTTCTTTAAAAAATATCTTTGAGATATGTTTGACAGAATTAACTAAAAATACACTTTCAAGATCTTTTTAATAATTGTTACTTTTGTTTGTGAATGTGTACGGAGTACTCTATATAACAAGTTACAAACTTTATCTCAGAAGCTACTCAATGTATCTTCTCAAAATGATCTTAAATTTTAAAACCAGTTAAATGCTAGAAGTTGTTATGAAAAATATACATCTAAAAGTTTCTAAAGACTTTTTTAATAGTATAAAAATTAGAAGTCAAAAACTCATGCCACTAGTTTTTAAAAGGGTTTTTGGGAGGGGTTTTAGTTTTTGATGAGAATGAAGTGGGTTTTTTAAAAAAAGAGACGTAGTTATCATTAATCAAATCGTTGGCCAAAACCGATACAATAAAATTAGGAGGAGAGTAATGTCAATATTGTGAATCATACAAAGAAAAAGCCGCTTTAGCTAACAAATGAGTTGGCTTATTCGCTGACCGCTTAACATAACAGAATAAAATGCTCGAAAAAGACTTCACCAATTCTCTAATGTCCTCTCTCAATAAATCAATCAAAGAAACACTTGACCCATTCAAAATTTCAGAGATCGCCCTGGTAGCATCACACTCCACCTGGATCAACGTCCCGCCAAACTCCGGCCTTAAGCCAACTTAAAGCCTCTTGGAATCCAACCAGTTCAACGCCCAATGGAGATAAAAGTCTCGGCCAAAGCTTAGCACAACCTGCTAGAAGGAGCCGTTGTCATTGCGAAGACACCATCTGAGGCCACACTTATCGGCCCAAGTCGCTGCATCAACATTCAATTTCTAGAATCCCTGGTTCGGTCTGTTCCAAGAAGGCTGCCCCTGCTGAATGATCTGCCTGCTGTCTCTTAAGTCCGAGCTGCCTGCATCTGCGCCTGGTGCCATCCATCGACCAGAGCTCGAGTTCGGTGAATCAACTGCCTTGCCGCCCGCCGAAGTCTTCTCCTGCCACACTCGTTGGTTGTACTCATTCCACAGTGTTCAGCAACCGCAAACCAGCCTTTCCAAGTCTATTTTCTTCTTCACCCTCAATTCCTTATTAATTTGCTCTAGGAAAGATGAACTTTCCCCAGCTGTCCATAGCCACCCAAGAGTTCTCCACAGCTCCTGAGCCATCGTGCAATGTGTAAACAAATGCTCCAGTGATTCCGCTGCATCTCCGCACAACCCATAGAGTCCCGAAGAGTCCACTCTTCGCACCTGCAAATTTAATCTCGTAGGAAGACAGGCGCTACAAACCTGCCAAAAAACATTTTAATTTTAGGTGGAAGCTTTAACTCCCACATGGCAGTACAATCCTTCCCTTGAGAACGAAGTAGTTTTTAAACTAGTTTTTTTGTAAGAAGGGGACTTATATTAATGTCATAGCATTCAGATAGGGGTTAAAATAACAAAAGAACCACAAGTAATCATCCGCCCTTGGGCCAGACTCAGAGTTAATCATCTTTGACAAAGCAATATAATTCGTTGATCCTAAATTGGGCATAATTGAGCCAATGACGGTTACCGCAGAACTCTCATTACTCAATCCTAATGCAAATTACTGTACCAAATAAAATAAAAACCAAAAACAACAATCTCTGCGTGGAAATTAAAATGCAAAACACCAATAAAATAAAAGTCAAAGTTTGTCTTCTTTAGCAATAGCATCACTCGCATGACCAGCGGGTCTAGAAGCCCTGACCCGCCGCCTCCCCGTTTTTTTTTTAACCAGAGCCATCTCTTGCTTGTTGGGTCCTTTTGTGCTTGTTCCTCCCATATTCTTCTGCGTTTCTAGTCCACTGGTACTTCCTCAGCGCTTCCGTTGTCTTCTTCTTTCGTGACACTATTTTCTGTACCAGCGGTAGCCTCTCTTCTTCCCTGTTTCCCAGTACCTTCATCCTCTTGATCTGTCCTCCTCTGTTGTCTTGGACCTGACGGTTTTTTCACTTCCGGACCAGTTAACTTGCAAAAATCATTTGACGACCTTCCCGATTGAATTTGTAGCTAAAATTTGGTATGAATGAACTAGACTTGATGAGGAACCTACACAAAAAATTTGAGCAAAAACTACCACCAGGAAGGCCCCCAAATGGAGGAGGCCGGACGGAAGGTCGTCCTATATAATCTCACTATATAACTTGGGGTCCTGTTTAAAGAATACTCCTATATGTTGTAGTCCTATATAGTGCACTTTTTTCTATTGAAAACGATCAGTCTAAGATATATTATATCATGAACTATATAATTTTTTATTTTAAATTTTTTAATTGTTATTTAATTTAATTAATTAAATAAACTCTTGTGAAGAAAAAATCATCAACAATTAGCAATGAAAAACTAAAAACTTACACTAATCAATATATATTATATTTTAGGTTTTAGCTTTTAATCTTTTGTGTTCTATATCGACAATTTTCACCTTTAAAATCCATGATTAATAAAATTCCTTAGGAAAACGAAGAATGCGTGTTTTGTGTTTAGCAAAATCCATGAAGACGCTTAGGCATATTCCATACACAGTCCTAGGGGTGGACTCAAGCCGGGCAGCCCGACCCGGTCACTGTTTGAAACGGCCCGAACCGCCAGCCCGGCCAGGGACCGGTCTGGGTAGGCCCGATCCGCTGGGGTTCCGGGCCGGGCTCGGACCCCTGAAAAGGTGAACCGGCCCGGCCGGTTCGGGCCAATTTTTTTTTCTTTTTTTTTTGTTTTGAATTTTATTTTTTTTGTTTTTGGGTTCGGCTGGGTATTTTGGGCCATTTGAGGTGGTTTAGGGTGGTTTGGGGGTGAGGGGGGAGGGTTAATTAGGAAAAGCCAAAAAAAAGTTTGAACCGAGGCCCAGCCTGGCCCGAACCGGACCCGTGGGTTACCCGGCCCGGCCCGAACCGGACCCGGGGGTTACCCGGGCCGGTTCCGGGCCTAGTCCTTCATGAACCGAGGCCCGGCCAGGCCCGGACCCGAACCGGCCCGAGTCCACCCCTACTCAGTCCTAACTCCTAAGTGAACGGATAAGTGCCTAAAATTTAGCAAACATAACATACTTCGATAGTTCGATGTTTTCTAAAGTAACAGAAAACATTAATTTTCAAGAAACCTATGAACAAAAAATATCCAACCCATTGTCCTTTTTTGAGCTTCCAAAAAAATATGTCAATCACTCAATCAGTTACTTTTTCCAAAGAATCCGTTATATGATTCATACTATTTTTGTTTCCGGTAAATAAATTAAATTTCAACCACTATGTTTTCTCTCTTAAATATTGGTCTGTCAAATTTGCTTGTTGATGTGGGGATGAATTGAATGGCATTAATAAAATATCAATTTATCCCTTTCAGCAAAAAAAAAAACATCTCAAACTAAAGAATGAGATTTTGTAGCTAGAAAGAAAAACAGTGACCCAAATGATGTAGGCTCCGTTTGCAAGTGATTGTGCTTAAATAAAAGCACTTTTTGGGAAAAAGTGATTAATAGTAAAAGTTGGTAGTGTTTGGTAAAATAAGTGCTTTTTGTAATAGAAAATGTAAAAAGTAGATTCTACACGAAAACCGAGAAAGTAAAAGTTAGTATTGTTTGGTAAAATAAGTGTTTTTTTCTTAAAAAAAAGGCCAAAAGCACTTAAATTAATTGTTTGCAAACAAAGTCGTAACCACTTAAAAAAACACTTCCAGCTTTTGGCTTAAAAATACACTTATTTACCAAACACTCCCAATTTTTACTTTTTCTCAGCTTGCGTGTGAAAAGTGTTTTTCCCTTTTCTATTACACAAAAAGCACTTATTTTACCAAACACTACCAACTTTTACTTTTCAAAATCACTTTTTTTCATACACTATCAACTTTTACTACTAATTACTTTTTCCTTACATCTCCAAAAGTAATTTTTTTTAAGCAGAAGTAGTTGCAAACACTCCTGTTGAAAATGTGCAGGTAACGTACCAGTGATGTTTCCATTAGCCCCATTTATGCAAGACATCCACACGCTAAGGTATAAGCCCCATTTATGCACAAGCTAAAGCAATCTATCACAAAAGAGTATCATTCTATGCATCACAACTTCCAGCTAAGAAGCTAACTGTGGTCAGGACAGGCTCTCCACTCTTTCGATTACTCACCCATGAGGTGCATGTGCATTTGAAGGTGGAACAATATGGGATGTCTTATATAGTTATATCTTATATTTGTAGGACACTATATGAGACACTAAGACACCCCATGGAATTTGTGATCTCTACTGCCAAATTAAAACCACAAGAGGGCAGGTGAAGGGTAAAATGGTAAATAGCATAAAAACCACAAAAGATTATCACCCAATGATACCCATGATAAATGGCATAAAATTTTAACTAATGTGGGAATTTAAGTAACCCCTTCTCACTTTTTAAGTAATGTGGGAATTTTTGCCCCTAAACGCCATTTTTTACACCGGAATTACAATTAGTTAAAAGCTGTTACAGAAAATGATTCATCACATTTCCTTAGTATCGAGATCAGCATAAAGTGCTTTAACTGCCTCAATATCATCATAACTTCCAAGAAATAATGGAGAACGGTCATGTATGTTCTTCGGAACCAAGTCAAGGGCCTGCACATGAATGAATTCATCAAAACACCACCCAAAAAGACCAACGTTGCAGAAGAAGATGCCTATTTCATTCTAACAAATACATAAACCAGTTTGACAGCCATAAGTCCAGTAATGGTATACCCTTTGTTTGCCTGTAAATGCTTGGCCTCCTGCCTGCTCTATTAAAAAGGACATTGGAAAGACTTCATATAGAACCCTGTCATGTGGTGCACCATTTCCATAATCATCGATTCCACATTATCAAAGCGTTATCAGTCAAAAATGGTTTTTAGCCAGGTTTCCTTTGTACTCACCGGAGCTTCCCATTGGGACTTTTCTTATCACCAGGGTACATGAATATGCCACCATACAGTAATGTGCGATGGACATCGGCAACCATGCTTCATAGCAACAACCAAGAGAAGCAAAAAAATGGCATTAATTTCAAAACGTTTTATGCTGATTGTGATGCAGTCTTCTGGATGCCACAAAGTCTAGACCAGCCAACATATTCAAAAATATATATTTTCTAGCAATCTAGCCTATGCTATATAAATTAAGGAGCTGTTTGGCTGCCTGTTTTGGCCTATCAGTACAACATGTAGCATTGACTTTTTTATTTGGCTGTTACAAGAATTCAACCAATAAAGTCATTTCACTTTTACCAAACGCGCCCTTTTTTTACCTTTAGCGTTCATCAATAGCAGATTTTTCGTTTGCAAGAATACTGAATACAGGATTGCCTTGTCAAACTGTTTAGAATTTAACTAAACTAAAAAAATGGAGATAGAAAAAATAATGCCACTATGGCATTAACCAACTCTATTTCATTACTTAGAACAAATGCAAAGGACAAATGCAAATATAAATAGGAGACCACTAGGTAGGTAGTTAACTAAGCTAGTCCACTACCCCACTTCTTAACTACCAATACTAAGAACATGAAATTGCCACTACTCCACTTATACCAATTTTAACTAATAAAATTAATTAAAACTTAACAGAAATTTAAAACTCCAGCCATGCATACGTGTCCCAAGACCGATCAAAACCCAACATCCCTTTTCTTAACTCAGGGGATTGATAGTCACTTTACTCAAATCATATGCCCTCCCATATTCATCAAAAGCTACAAAGACTTTTTTTGAGGAAAAACTACAAGTACTTTGAGCAACATATTTTGGAGTTCAAATACCTTCCAATGTATCGTAAAGACTTTGGTGATGAACCATCACTTGGGAACTTGCAGTTTTCAACATATCTGCCATTTAACAACTGTCAAGACTTGAAGATATCGTAAGAAAAACAAATGTGTATTATAAAACAATAGCAATCCAACATACTTTGCCGTTGGGCCATCCCAGTTTTTAGTATTTCCTTCATTTACAGAATAGATCTTTCCTTTCTTTGGGATCTGTATTAAAGGAAAAACGTAGTAGCCCAGACAAATAAATATAGAGCAGTAAAACATATACTGGTAACAGCACTGAAGGATAAATACGAATACATGTGGTTACATATATACCTTGATATCTGGATGAGTAAGTATGAATTCTCCTAGTGATGGGTCAAGGGTAAAACCATTGACTCCAGATCCTGTGCTCAAGACAAACTGCAAGTTGAATCACTGATTGAGCATCAAGGCAAGTATTATCAGTAGAATGTGAGAGTAGGCATTACCAGGTCGATATTTATGTGCTGGATTCGTCAGCAATGAGAAAACTGGAAGCTAAACGAGAAAAATATTTTACCGGGTGAAAATGTACATAGCAGATGAGAAAATAACACTTACTGTGCAGGAGCTTCCATACATGCAGTAGCCGGCAGCTAGCATATTTTTCCCAGGTTGCAACACATCATTTAATTCTGGCTCATGATCATCTTTGATCATATAAATTCCAAAGATCTAGACATTATAAAAAGAAGAAACAATTAAACCTATAGGGTTTAGAAATTAGAAATACTGATTAGTAACACTTGAGCAAGGACTCATACAGTTCCAATCGACACGCCACAGTCGATGTTTGATGATCCATCCAATGGGTCAAAAACAACACAATACCTGCATTTTCCATCAGATACAACATATTTCCTATGCTAAACTTTCAGAAGGTGACCAAAAGAGTTGTGAAATATAGTACACACTTTCCCTGCAATGGTGGCTTCACAAAGGTTGCTTCTTCATCTTCCTCAGAGACAAGAATGCACTAAAAAAAAACATTTCAAAACTCTGAAATGTACTCTAACAGGGAAAATGAATAAATGGTGATAAGAAGTTCAAAAACCTACTGTTCGGCCACTGCTAACCAAGGCTTTGATAAAAACTTGATTGGAGAGCACATCCAGCTTCTTTTGTTCTTCACCCTGTATTAAAATGTAAACCAGTTCAGAAACAATGGAATAAAGTTATACAAAAATAACCAAAAAGGGAAATCGTGGATGAATAGCATGAAAGATGATCTCTATCAACGCGCCTGTACATTAGTCTCCCCAGCTAGGCCTATGAGTTTTGCCAAACCAGCCTGCAGAAATCCACAAATATACTATTACACACTTTTGAGTAGATATTATAGAAACCGGGGATTTTCTTATTTGCTCCCATAATCCATCATTTAGTCCTATAACTTTATCTGCTTACAGTTTTAGGTGCTGGAACAAATAAGATTGTCCACATTGAGATTTCTTTTTCATAGAAATGTAACATTTCCTTCAACAATCCTACCAAAAAAACCGCTGACATGTTCTTGAAAAGGAACACTGTTTAATTTTCAATTACAGAAACACTTGTCTTTTTCAGTTTGAGATTTGCCAAGTTAACTACATTCCTAATCCAATTCTATTTCACTCCACGCTAAAAACCTACAAACCCTGCTAAATATCAGAAAAGAGAGAAGAACAAAAGTATACCCATTTTCAAATTAAAGACCAATAGCTAGTTTCATTGATTATCTTCAAGTCAATGTGGAAAAACATTAGTTAAGAGTTAAGACTATAGACTGAAAGTGAGCCAAAGAAGGTGAAAAAAGAAGACCTTGTTGACGGCAGAGCAGACGAATTTGCAGCCGAGAAGAATGTGGCTGAGGAGGATGGTGAAGTCGCCGCGAGAACCGGGGTGCTTGGACTGCTCGTTGAGCACGAACCTGGTTATGGTCATCAAGTCCGTCCGGTGAGCTTCTGCAGCGTGGTCCATCTTTCTCTGCAACCAGGCCAGAATTGATGGGGGGATTATTAATTCGTATTACAGTATTATCATTGTCATCAGTGGCCAGGATGGGCTGCCATATCCGTGTGGGGAAGGCGGGAGGACACGTGGAGGAAGGCGGTGATGCCTTCCTGTCAAATCCAGCTTTGTCTTTGCTCGCTATCTTATCTTCTTCATTGTCAAATCCAAGCGGTCTGATATCAAGCATTTGATTTATTGATAAAATACGAAATTGTCCATATTTATATTGTTTTTATTTGTACGGATCCACGGGTTAAGGAGTACGAGAAATTTGCTCCTAATAGGACCAAATCATAGCTCTTTTACAAAAATAATACCTATTAATATTTTTCCATTCATATTACTTATTTAGTTCTAGATTAGGAAACCTATTTCTAACTTTCCAAATTTGCCCTTCAGGCCAAAAAAACTTCCCCCAACCTAGCTTCTTCCGCAGGTAGCCCATCCTCCATGTTGCCGTTGCCAGACGCCGTCGCCGTTGCCGAAGCTCGTCGCTGCCGTTGTCAGACGCCGCCGCCGGTGCCGGATCTGCCATACTCTGATTTTGGGTCCGATTTGGGGAACGATTGGGGACCGCCGCTGCAGGTGGGGTCCGATTTGGGGCCGCTGCTGTTGGGGTCCGATTTGGGGCCGCCGCTGCCGCCGGTGGTGGTGTTATGGCTGAGGTTTGTGCGAGCTGGACGAAGAAGGACATGGGGGAAGAACAGGGGCGGGGAAGGGGAGCAGGGGAGGAGGGTTGGGGACAGGGGAGTAGGGCTGGATGTCGGGGGTGAGGGCGGGGTGGCTGGATGTTGGGGGTGAGGGCGGGTGGCTGGTGGTGCTGACTGGCGGTGACCACCGAGGATGGCTCTGTCACTGACGCTGGCGGCATGGATGGGAAGGTAAGGGGAAATTTATTGTCTACTTATTGTCTATTTATTATCTATTTAATGTCTGTTATTTTCTAAAAGTAAGGGTATTGTGGTCAATGTAGGTGTAGTTGAGTCTTACGCTAATCTTCGGTCTTAGTTTTGGAAAATCCGTACGTTTTGCTCCTACTTGTTGAAATCTCCCGAGGAGTACTCCATTTCTCACGTTAGAAAATTTCCATTCCTTTTTTCGACCTCGGTTCTCATTTTTATTTTAGGAAACAAATTAATTATTAAATATTAAAAATATTACATTTATAATATCACAGTTATGAATACTAATTATATTTTAATATATACCTATTAAAATTATTTCTCAAAGTACTTTATTTAATTATTGTCTAAATAACCGTATCGTTTTGCAATAGAAACCTTCTAACGGGACGTAGGTAGTATTTTTTTGTTTTTGTTTTAACTCTAGGGAGTTTTGATGCAATTTTCATGCGATATTTAAGTTTGTTCTTTTAGAAATCTATGGGCTTCATTAATTATAACAAAGGATTTTGATGCAATTTTCAATTCACCATATGCTTGCATCATATGTATATCTTGCGGAAATTTGACGCATTAAACCCTATCCAAATCAAATCAATAAATTTAACAGTAAGTTACAGAGATTTTAGCTAAAATAATTCACAAGATTTTTTGATAGGTTCGATTTATGTGGTTTGTAATTTACGAGTAGCATAACTAGAACCCGTACAGGCCACGATTTAGCAAAATTGTAAAATGAGGGGTGAGAAATAGGAGTAATGACAAAAACCAAGCGAGTTTCATTACGAGTTTTTGTCTTCCAAAATGACAAAATCTACTACCAAACTAATAATTAAACCCAACTGGATTGAAGTTATAGAATCGGATCGGAACGGGCGAGTCGGCCTGAAATGCGACTCCAGGTCCAAATCGGATTACTTTTAAACCGTTAAACTAGTTTTTTCACTTGTGCGTGGCAAATCAATTCATAACACTTGTTTTTCAGTTTCCATCAAGTGCTTCTGCAATTCCCAATATGTTCGGGCCTAATATATGTAACAAGTAATTCACGCATAAACGGAAAAACATTTTTATTAAAGACGAAAAATAGTTATGCAGGTATGTAGGCTATTATTACATGCATTTAGACCACTTTAGTGGTGGAGAATCGGGAGTCGTCTAAAGTGTTTAAAATGAATGTTTGGGCTCCTAAAACCGGAAAAATCTATAACTCGTTTATACGTAGTATATTGGCAAAACCCGGATATTGGAAAAATATATCACACGCGGGGATTGAACCCCGTCCCATGTCATCAAACTCCCAAGCTCGATAATTTTGAAATGTAGGAATTGAACTCCCATCCTATGTAATCGAACTCCCAAACTTGATAATTTCGAAAAATACAGTGATTAGCAACATACTCTTCCCATCCCAAAAGAAGTTCATTGTTTGAATTCACAGGCTCACAGCTTTTAAGAAAGTGAAATTTTTTGTTTTGACTTTACCTTAATGCTCCCCAAAAAAATAGATACAGTGTAGTGGGAGAGAGAAAGTGGGTGTAAAGTGGATAATAAAGTAAGAGTAAAAGAGTAACTTTATATTAAAAAGTTGCCAAAAATAGAAGTGTAGAATTTGTTTTGAATCTAATCAAAAAGGAAAGTGTGAACTTGTTTTGGGATCAGAGGGAGTATATTATATTATAGTGTAATGAACTTTTACCCCTCTCTACTCTACCACAGTAACCCGTTGGTAGGATGCATAGCTTAGAACAATTTTACCATTTAATTGACATCATTTTTATCTAGTGTTAATCTTTTAGTTAATTAAACAGTTCATTACTAATAATGCTAAAGTGTTTGTCCCACGCCGGAAAGCTATGAAACAATAAAACATTATATAAGATTTTGGGTTATTCTTCCTATCAGGTTGACCTCTTAGGATGAAACTTCATATCTTCACATGGTATCTGAGTCAAGTCCGGTTGTGGTTTGACGGCTTGTTAGCACCCATGATTAATGGTAGCTTGTTAAGGGTTTGTTTGGCTCATTTATACACCCCGATATTGTCAAGCTCGGTTCGGGTTGAGGAAGCGTGTTAAAGTGTTTTTCCCATACCGGAAAGCTATAAAACAATAACACACTATATAAGACTTTGAGCAACTCTTATCAGGTTGACCTTTTAGAATGAAGTCCTACAAATAACGATAATAATGCATACAGGCTTATGATGTTATTTTACTTTCCAATTATGCATATCATATTCCAACTATAAGTAAAGATATCTTTCTATTATATTTTTTAAGTTTTTATAATTTGTGTCATGATTATATTTATTGTCCATCTGAACCCATGTTTACTTTTTTGTTAAAATCAATAATACTCTAATAAAATAAAGATTTTTTACTTGACTGGGATTGCATTGTCATTAATATCAAATTATAAATGTATTTATTTTTAATTTACGAATTGAATCTTTTATATATAGGGTGCATATATATCAAATAAAAAGATGTCTTAACATGTGAAAAGGAGTATATTCTCTATGTACTCCTTTATTTGATCTTAACCGCAGAGGTTGAGACTTCGTATGAAGATTATGGACTTAGACGTTTCAGCATTTGTATTCCACATACATGTGGGATTACGTCACTAACGCGAATTTCACCTTTTTCACATACTTGGATTCCACATGCATCTCGTATTACGTCACGTACTGTATGAGTAATCATTTCGCCTTTTTCACACACTAACATCTCCTTTTATGTGATCTTAACCCTTTTAAAATATAAATATATAAGCCCGATTAGCAATTCCCTATTTTTAGCTCATTTGTCAATTTTTTACCAAATACATTATTTTTGATGCATCGCGCTAAGTTGTGCAATAATCAAAATATGCAAGATTGGAATTTCTTTTTCAGCTGAAATGATAGTAGAGTGCTATGATAGCTATTTTCACATAATTTGTATTTATTTTATTAACTATATATATATGTATATATTAAATATAAGTTTTACATAATTCAGTAGATTCTGCCAATTCCGTCACTTCAGTCTCAATTTCATCAATTTCAGCAAATTCAGTTGATTCAGCTAATTAATTTCAGTATTACCAAACAAGATCCATCTATATACGTTGACCACGTTTACCGGTCCTTAATAAGGATGACCCGCTGAGTTGGAGTCGACCCTTGACCCGGTCATCTCTCCGGGTCACTTCCCAGTCCAGTTTTTACAACATAGGTCTTGACAACCTCCAACTTGATATTTGGCAGAGGTGCTATGAGATATTCAACTCAACAACCTTCAAGTTTGACTATGAGTATATGTGCTTTCATTATGTAGTTAAATTTAAAGTTATGACATGGTCTCATTCTTTCACATGAGGTCTCGAGAAAAACTTGCAAATTAAAATGGAGAAGCAATTCAAGTTATGATAAAACTAGGCCTGGGATAAAATCATATGTGAAATAATACATGCATGACAAAGTAAGATTTCAGTCTTCAATTTAAGGTCATTACCACCAGAAAGTACACTTTGCGGCAAAAAATCCTTTCATTACGTTTCAACAAATGCATGTTCAAATAAAAAAATTCTACTTCTATGTCTTTTTTAACAATAAGAGTATAATTTATTTGTTGGTTTCTCGACATTTTTATGTGTTGTAGTTTTTTGCATATTTCTTTGCAGTTAATGGATTGTTTTTTTGCGATTTCAGTTTTCTAGGCGTACTGAAACATTTTTGAAAAATTATTACGTACTTTGCAATATGTTTTTGAAAATTTTCCCGCAGTTTTTTGTTGTGTTGTAGTTTTTGTATGGTTGCGGTTTTTCTTGCATGTTTCTTTAGCAGCTTCCTTGTTGGGCTGCAGTTTTTTGTTTCGGGCTTTTAGTTTTTAGTTTATTTTTGTATGTATATCCATTTTGTAAATGATGTTATCCAAATTTTTATTGAGTGATTTAGACTTTGCAAGCCATGTGTTTCACTCTTACAAAAATGCTTATTGCTACATAGATTTTACTATTAAAATCTTGTAGTTGTAGTAGGGAGTAGAGATTAAAAATTTGCATTAAAATTTGAAATTAATTATTTAATGTTCATGTTATTGTAATCATTTACTATATTCTTCTTCACATTAATGAATATTATAGAGGATGATCTGTTAATATATAGGTTAGCAGTACTTAGATCTTCAAAATTGGAAAGATCGACGCTTGACTTTAGTGCTACATGAAAAGATTTTATTAATTGTAGATCCAATCGTATGTAATTTTCTAATATGTAATGTGAAAAACCCAAATTAGCAAGGAGTACCAGACACATTTAGAGGAAACATGGTCATCTCATTAAATAATTAGTGTTGATATCATGAATTGGAACTTGAAGAGGCAGCACGGATGTCAAAGTGGAATATGCCTTACGCTATCAAAGGATGCATCATATTTCATGGAAGATCGCGCTACTTCCTCATTCAAAGACCACCATGGTGTGCAATCAAGTGAATTGCAAGAAAATTATGAATTGATATTGATTGCCCTGTGACATTTCATTCTCGGCTTTCAATTGCCTTCACACACCTCCAAAAACCATATTCATTCGATATTCATTCAATATGCATCAACTTAGATGTAGGTAACTTGATATTATTAGGCATTTGATTAATTGATATGTTGTTAATATTAGATTCTTTTATTTGATTTTGACAATATTTGTTTCTGATAAAAACTGTATTGCGAGAGCAAATATGTAATGTTTTAATAAATGTAGAGACATATTTTTTTATTCGCCAAATTGAAGCAATAAGTAGTTAGAAATAATAGCAAAGGTGCCCTTTTCCTTCAACTCGCCGATGTGATCGTTTACATTATTCGCGATTACAAGTGGACACAATTACTTGTATCACCTTTTGCATCGACAAGGCTCTGATTATTTCTTTAAGTTCTTCTCCATCTATAAGACGACACAAAAAGTTTTCTTGAATTGTGTTGCACATTGTGAACGAAAAAGAGGTATTTGTGCCGCAAAAATGTGGTCGACCCCCTTGTGTCTACTTGTTGACACAAATGACTTATTTGCGTCGATTTTCTACCTTTGCGTCGATATTTTGTCATGCAAAAGACACCTTAATTTAATGATGGTTTCATTTTACCCTTCTACATATCATTTGTGATAAGTTGCTCCGCTTATGTACGGGAGCTTTACTACTCCCTCCGGTTCTAAATAAACTTCACACTTTCCTTTTCGGGACGGTCCAAAATAAACTTCACACTTCCTTATTTCCTTATTTGGCAAAGAAATCTACATCAAAACAGTGTTAAACAGTGCTAAACAGTGCCAAACAGTGTCTCAACAGTGCCAAACAGTGTCTCAACAGTGTCAAACAGTGCCAAACAGTGTCTCAACAGTGTACTCTACAGTAAAGTCAACTTTATTTCCTTAATAACTGTGAAGTCAAACACTGAAGTTTAAAAAGAACCGGGGGAGTATGTGTTTTAAACTGGATTTGCTCTTCCTAAGCTTGTGGTCTCTTGTTGTAATTGTTTTTGAACATTTATATTTGCAGTTCATCTACTAGTGCTCGAAGAAGTACCCTATAGTCGAAATCCCCCAGCAAGTAAAATGTCATCAATCCAGGTTTTGAAAATGCTGATATCCAAGAAGCATCATTCTAAAAATCCAGATTTTAACAATAATAAATACATATGTATCTGACTAGATATTTATTATCTACTGTTATGTTGTTCTTAGTTCAATTTCATTGTTGCTACTAGAAAAAAGAGTACAATTCGCAAACAGAAGTTCATATAGAATTGACGATTTTTTCACATTCGTTTTTTCTAATGTAGGCCACTAGGCGGCTAGGCCTAGCCTTAAAGTGGGCTTCTTGAAATAGCATTTCCTTGTGGTCCATCGCTGGACCCATTTATAACGACTATAGCTTGCACTTTCATTTTCATGGGCCTTGCTTTTACTCCACCCACATGTAAAGTTTAATACTCTAATTTTACTATTGAATAATGAAAAGTTCAAAAGGAATTCTAATTTATTTATTTTTTTCCAAAAGGAAAACAACAAAATTGTGGGGTAAATATTGGGAGTCTTTCATGATACTTTCTGTAAGTGTCGAGTTCTTTAGGAATTTTAATTTAGTGGCATCAGGAAAAACTCAAAGAAGAATGAAGGAATGTGATCCACCAAAGAAGTTTCTTCATTTTTAAGCATGTTAATGGGGCGGGGCGGTTTAAGAATTTTTTTACTTGGATTGTAATCTGTCCCAGATCAGACCAGACTTGGATAGTTATAAAAATACAAAGAAACCAGACCAGATCAAACCACATCAGCAAATTACAGTCCAAGTAAAAACATCCTAAGATTACACAATATTTCTTCGGCAGCGAAAAATCAAATATACATGATAATTTAAGCAACATTAATAAATGAACTTTTTTAGGTTAAAATATTCATTTTTGAATCACATATATTTAAAAAGGTTTCTTCCCAAATTATTACTGAACAACAAGAAAATAGTCAGATTTATATTAAAAAATATAATGCCACCAAAAAATAAATAAATATTACTCCCCTCATCCCTATATAAACGTATCCATTCGTTTCCCACACATTTTAAGAAAATTGGGTTGTTTAGTATTGTTGGCACTATTTGAACATTGTTTGAACAATATTTGACACAAATTTTGCACTTTGTTTGTCAAAAAAGAAAAGAAATAATTGCCCGCTTATTATTAATGACTTTGAAGATTCCAAAACTATGACCAATTACCCAAATTCCAAAAAAAGTGATTCAGTCCTTTTGAAACGGTTCATTCAAAGAACTGCACGACCTTATCGTTTTGCAGATTCCCTTACGGGCTTCCTTCTCTCTTCGCACCTGATATTTTCGCACCACCATACTCCGCCAAAACCGCCGGACTGCCTCACCGCACAGGCCGTGCTCTTCCTCTTCTTGCCTCGCCAGACAGGTTGCCGTTTCTCCTCCTTGTTGCTTCTCTGCCTCGCCGTATCTCCGCCTCGCCGCTTCTCTGTCTTGTCTCGCTGTTGCGCCTCTCTGTCCCAAGGTTGATGTTCGTTGACCTTCTTCAGATCGTCGTCGCCCTACACCGCTTCTATTTCTTCTCTTTCTGTCCGACGTTGTCCTGGAGATTGGCGGCCGGGATTGTGGTCAATGATAGATCCGGATCTAGATCCATGGCGATGGTAGCTATGGTAAGATCTGGGGCAGAAGGGTCGTGGTGGGCTTCGATGAGGGCTAGTGGGCATCGATGGGGGTTGTATGGGGATTGTTTGGCAATGAGAGGGCTGGATGAAGTTCGGCCGGCATCCGGCAGACGGCGGCGTCCCCCACCGGAGGGGACACCTGGCAGCGGTGGTCTCTGGCGATGCAGGCACTTTAGCCGGTGAATGGGCAGTCACTTTGGGCCGGGTCATTGAGACCGGTGCGCGGGCGGGCAGTCACTTTGGTTGGAGGCAGTGCTGTCGCTGGCGGGCGGTGGGGCAGTCACTGACGGTGGGGCAATCACTGGCTGCGGAGTCACTGTGACCGTAACCGGAGTCACTGGGTGGTGGTCACTATGGCCGATAGGCGGGAGTCACTTTGGTGACAGTCACTGTGACGTCAATCACTGTGACCGGAGTCACTTTGGCCGCCGCCGCCGGCGGTGGTGCCGGTGGCGGCGGCGTGCCGGTGGTGGTAGAAGTAGTGGTGCTGGGGTCGGCGGTCTGGAGGTGCTATAAAGGAATATTTAAAAATAAATATATGATTAATTATAAAGAGTAAATGACTTTAGTCACATTTTAAGAAAAATTTAAAACAAATCACTTTTTTATCTTTTTCATTTATTTTAGTAATATTGGAATAAAAAGGCCAAAAGAAAAAGGGACTTTATTTAAGAATGATCCAAAAAGGAAATAAATGTTTTTATTTAGGGATGGAGGGAGTACGTGAATATGGAATGTGCGTATTTGTTAGCAAAGAAAAGTGACCAAAGTAAGCTCGTTTTGAGTGTTTAGTTGAATAAACGAACATTTACCGAACTTAATCACCAGTTTGTTTGACAAACGTCGTGTACTTTTTATTGCCAACAAAAGTGGGATGAGATTCTGGAATCTTAAGCTTCTCTTAAGTCTTAATTAATTATTTCGCTTTCTTTAATTATTACTCTTTCAAGTCCAATAGAAAAAGAGTTCCATGAAGTCTTTCTGAGGATAGCTTTGGAGCGAATCACAAACTATAGTTCTTCATTAACAAATTAAATAATAAGACCTATAATGATTGCGTAATTGCATTAGTCAACATCATTTTCTTAAACACATTCAATTCTCAACTCTCAACGCTTATGTGAGGGTGCATCTCCAATGAGAGGGTGCATTGCAGCTTATGTGGCATAGGAGAGATAGAGATAAAATAAATATTTGTATGAAATGGTGTGTAGGGAAAAATAAAAATAAAAAAAAAAGGAGAGAGATAGAGGTAAAAATGGACCAAGGTCTATGACAAGGTTCATATATAGACCTTAGAGCAACTCCAATGCAAGGGTGTGGTCTCTTACACACCCTTACGCATGAGTCCAATTTTTTATCTCACAATTTTTATGTGTAGAACCCACATATTTCCTAATTTATTTTTCTTTTCATTTTTTATATCACTTTTAACCCACTTTTCATCAACTTTTCCTCCTCGAATCCCGTGTAAGGTCCATATATGGACCTCGTCATAGACCTTGGTCCATTTTTACTTCTATCTCTCTCCTCTTTTTTATTTTTTCCTACACACCGCTTCATCCAAATATTTAATCTATCTCTATCTCTCTCCTATGCCACATCAACTGAAATGCACCCTCCCATTGGAGATGCTCTTACACGGGATTCGAGGAGGAAAAGTTGATGAAAAGTGAGAAAGTGATATAAAAAATCGAAAATAAATTAGAAAATACGTGGGTCCTACACATAAAAATTGTGAGATAAAAATACGTGTGTAATAGACCACACCCTTGCATTGGAGTTGCTCTTAATACTCTCTATTTTGACGAATTTCTTTCCTAAATTTTACTCCGTAGTCCGGAGACGATCCGGATGTGATCATAAGAGCATCTCCAATGCTACAATGTGCACGGTGCACATGTGGCATGAGAGATATATACACAAATGATTGATTTTATGACATTTCTTTCTCCGTCTTTCCACGGTTTTATGTGTTTTTGGTAAGTTTTTCTCTGCAATGTCAACCCCAATGTCTACATCTAGACATTGTGCTTCACATTGTGAAGAAAAACTTACCAAAATGATATAAAATCCTTCAAATAAGGAGAGAGATATTTTATTTATTGTTTTTTGATTGGCTATCTCCAATGCCACGTATGCACCATTAACGTTTTAGCATTAGAGATGCTCTAAGTGGTGAATCCTATAACTCAACAATACAAATATTCATTGTAGTAATGGGATTTTTCTTGGTTATAATAATATGTATGTATGTATATTATACTCTCAAAAAATAATATGCATGTATGATGTATATTATAGCTACTATTATATATATATATTGATGATTTAGGCTATGCATGACACAACGAACCAAAACTCAAATTTCTTACTACTATGATAGTACATGATTTATAGGCTATTGTTTAGAATTGGATAAAAGTTAATGAAATTAAAATATCAATTGAATAGAGTAAATTTTCATAACATAGCTGAAATACCAGTTGAATAAACTAAACTGTTTTCATAACATAGCTGACATAAAATGTTTGAATAATGTGAGATGAGTTGGCATATAGGGGCCGTTTGCTTTGTGTATAAAACGCTGATATCCAAACGCACCTAAAATTACGATAAATTTAAGGACCGAATTGAAACTCTATAATTAGTGACGCTTCAAATGATCATTATAGACAGGGCCGTCTCCAGCGTTTTGGAGGCCCTAGGCGAAAAGTTTTAATTCTTATATCTAAAAAATAAGATAGAATAAATAAGATAGAATAAATAAGATAGAATAAATACAAATTCATCATATATTGTGAATTTCAAATCAAACAATAAAATTTTAAGAGCACGTTTGGTAACACTGAAATTGGCTGAATCAGGTTGACTTTGCTTAAATTAATAAAGTTCTGGCTAAAGTGGTTGTATTGGCTGATTCTGCTAATTTATAAAAAAAATTATATTTAAAATATATTTTGTTAATATAATAAAGAAAAAATTATATGAAAAAATAGCTACAATGGTTATCTGCAGTAAGTTCAGCCAATACAGTCAGAAAAGTAACTTCAATCTTACCTTTTCTTATTATTACACAATTCAGCGCGCGAAATCAAAAGTTACGTGTGTGGTGAAAAATTCGTTGATAAACTTGATAAGCCGAAAAACATTGATACCAAACCGGATATAAATGTAACATATACAAAATGCATTACAAAATGTACTTTTTAATACGCAAATCTCTTAAAGTGCAAAATTTATAAGAACATCACTAATCAAGACTAGCTAACATTTTTTATAAATAGAAGAAATTGTTTTTACATACTAGTCTATAGAGCTAACAAGTGATTGTACATAATCTCTTCTCATCTAATTTTTTCTCTTCAGGCCTCCCGATTCAAATTTTATACCAACATATTTATAGATAATACAAAATTCACAAACAAATTATTCAAAACTTAAATTTTTTAAATGCACTCACAAGTAAAATAAAATATCTAATTTAGTGGGATGAATGCAATAACACTAATTACACACTTGTACTCGGTGTTTAATATTTAGGCATTTTCTTTAGGGAAAAGGGGCAAATCCCCCCCTCAAGTTACTACTAAAGGGCATCTAAGTCCTTGAAGTTTATTTTGGAGCAAATAACTCCCTGTTCCATTAAAAGAGGGCATCTCCCCCCTCTAACGGCGATTAACATACGGAGTACTTAACGATTTGGGATTTTGGGTTGAGAACTTGTTGTACATGCAAATACACTCCAAAAATTTTCTCTAGCTAAATAAGAACCAAGTTTTTTTTTGTGAGCAAATATATTAAATAACATGTGGCAAATTAACTAATTAAAAGTTGAAATATTGAGTTAAGATGTTTTTAATTGGATGAATTTTTTGATGTGATGTAATTTGGTCTAATTTTTGTCTGATCTGGTCTGATCTGTTTTAAAAGTTTTTACTTAGACTTATTTCAGTATTAGACAAGATCAGACCTGAACAACCCTGATTAGACATAAATAGATTAGACCTCGAAGAATTATAAAATACTCAGAAACTAGATATCTACTGAACAAAACAAAAGTAGACCAATTCAGACCAGACCAAATCAGATTAGAGGTAAGGGGGGCCCCAAAACCGTCACAAAGCACATCCCAGCTCAGATTTCTTCTTTGTGAGCAAATGTCTTAAATAAACATGTGGCAAATTTACTAGCCGATATACCGAATTATAGAGTTAGGGATTTTTAATTGCAGTGAACTTTTTTTTATTTGATCTAGTTGATCTAATCAATTTTAGTCTGGAGCTGGTCTGGTCTAAAATTTTATTTTATACGTAGTATTACTTATACCTCTATCTCACTTAAAAGCTCATGTCTTTTATTCTCTGGTCAATGTAAACTAATTTATAATCTTTTACTTTACATATTCAACTTTAATTAAAATTAAATTTTCTTTTATTAACTTTATAAAACTTTTATGTTGTTTTTGAATATGTATATCTTCATATTGTCTTCATAATTGTTTTATAATTAATTTTAATTATTTATTATTAAGAAATTAAGAATAATAAAATTCCTTCAAAAATATTGTACAATACAATATATTTTCTCGATTTTTACCATATATCTTCTATAAGTTAAACGGGAAAAATATTATGGTATGATAAAGAAGATAGAATAGTTTTTACATACTTTTAATGTTTATAATATACACATTAAAAATGTATATGAGTCGAGAAGATATACTCTACAATAATTTGGGAGGAATTTTATTATTTTTAATCATAAATGAATACAATAAATTATATACGAATTATAATATATAAATAATATTAATAACATTTCATAGCAGATGAGATGAAGGTTATTTTTTTCAATTGAAATTTTATGGTTTGATCTCTAATTTAACCTGGTCTAAAGTGGTCTGGTTTTGTCTTGTTCGATAGATTTCTGGTTTGTGAGTATTTTTTAATTTTTCGAGGTCTAGACTATTTTTTTCTAGTTAGGATGTTTTTACTTGGACTGTAATTTGCTGGTCTGGTCTGATCTGGTCTGGTCTGAACTGGTCTGGTCTGGTCTGGTCTGGGACAAATTACAGTCCAAGTAAAAACATCCTTAGGGTTGTTCAGGTCTGATCTTGTCTAAGACTGAAATAAGTCTAAGTAAAATTTTTTAAAACAGATCAGACCAGACCAACCAAAAATTGATTAGATCAAATTACATCAAATAAAAAAACTTCAATCGAATTAAAAACATTTTAACTCCATAGTTCAACATTTAGTTAGTTAATTTTCCACATGTTTATTTAAGAAATTTTTGCTCACAAAAAATATAGTCTTTTAAACTAGAGAAAATTGTGGGGGTATTTGCATTTACCACCATTCTCAACCCAAGCCTTTAAGTACTCCGTATGTTCACCACCGTTAGAGAGGGGGGAAAATGCTCTCTTTTAATGTAAAATGGAGTTTTTTGCTCCAAAATAAACTTTAAGGGCTTAGAAGCCCTTTAGGGGTAACTTCAGGGGGAATTTGCCCCTTTTCCCTTTTCTTTAAAAACAAAAATATTTAGGCATTTAAAATCCTTGACCGAGACATCTAGACCACTCTCACAAACCCAGTTCTTCATCACCGACTTACCGCATTCCTCACACAGCCGCTCAAACATCCTAAATCCCCACAATCCCACTTAAAAAACCCTCCTGCTACAAAGGAACTCACGTCTGTAACCTTCTCGCACGAAGAAATATAATCCCTCGCAAACAAGCTCTCCTTCGTGTTGTTGAGTTCTTTTCTATTGCTGGATATCGATGGTCTAAAATTTAGGAATCGTATTCT